TTTCAAAAGTTACTGGAAGGTGATCAGAACCGAAGTCAGCATGGGTAACCAATTGGCCACAAAGTTGACATGAATCAGTTAAGACCAAATCAATAGTGGAGGGATTTCTTGCAGAAGAAAAGCATGTTGGGCTGTTTGGATATTGAATAGTGTAATAACCTGCAGAACAATCATCAAACAGAATATTACCATTGGAATTGCTTTGAGCATTATTCCATGAGCGGTGTTTTGCATTAAAATCACCAATAATGAAGAATTTAGACCTATGACGGGTAAGTTTCTGGAGGTCACCCTTGAGAAAATTCTTTTGCTGGCCTACGCATTGGAATGGCAAATAGGCAGCTATAAACGTAAGTTGTCCAAATTTTGTTTCAACAGAAACCCCCAAAGTTTCAAAAACTTTGGTTTCAAATGAAGAAAGAATTTTATGTTTGATTCGTCTATGAATAATGATGGCAACGCCACCACAGGGTCCATCAAGACGATCATTTCTATAAATCAAGTAATTTGCGTCCTTCTTAACCTTATGGGCAGGTTTAAGGAACGTTTCAGTTATAACGGCAATATGCACGTTATGAACTCTTAAAAAGTTAAATAGCTCGTCTTCATTATCTTTAAGAGATCGAGCATTCCAATTTACAATATTTAATGCTTTAAAATCCATTACTGAATTTTAAAGTCATGACAATATTATTTGCAAATTTTACTCCAGTTTGAATAGCATCAAACATGGAGTTAGATTTAAGCATATCAGAAATCATGTCAATTAATGAATTCTGTAAAAATTCCATTTTGGGGGCAGTAATGCTTCCTAAGTCAAAATTGTCAAAATTTCCATTAGAACGTTGGTTAGTATTTTGATTTCTACCCGTTGCAATAGCAGCATAGGTAGCTCCATTAACTCGCTGAACATTGTTAGCAGCGAGGGGAGTAGGTACAGATGAAACATTTGAAGCAGGGGTGATATTTGTACCTACGGGTACGAATGTAGAATTTGTTCCTCGCTGACCGTTGTTAACAGCAGAGGAATTTGTACCCGTTCGGAAACGTGGAGCGTTTCCTACCTGTCGGTTAGAACGAGATTGTAGGATCGCTTTGCGAGTCTTACATTCCCAAAAATTGGATTTGTGGTTTTCACCACAATTTGAACATTTAAATTTCTTAGGATCTTCCTTCACAGGACAGTCGTCCTTTGCGTGAGAGGAATCACCACAATTCATGCATTTAGCTGGCATGTAGCAATTTTTAGTTCCGTGACCCCATCCCTGGCACTTACGGTACTGAGTGAGGTTTTGGAAATTTCCTCCAGTCTTCCTGAAGTGTTCCCACTTCACTCGGACATGGAGCATAAGGCTAGCTTTTTCTAAGGCCTTAAGGTTGTTTAGTTCACTAGACTTGAAGTGAACTAAATAAAAATCATTAGAAATCCCGTTGCGCGAATCGCCAGGACGGGATTTCATTTTCATTTTGATTACTTGGAGTGGCACAACTCCAAGTAATTTTGCCAGTTCATCTTTGATCTGATCCAGGGATTCACCACTGGGCAGTCCTTTCATGACAACCTTGAACACACGTTCAGTTTTGGTGTCGTAAGTAAAAAATTTGTGCTTCTTCTCAGTAAGATACTTGAGAAGACATTTAAATCCGTCCAAGGTTTCAGCCAATACACGGCATTCACCCCGACGTCCAATTTGTAGTGAAAACATAACTTTCACGAAATTCAAAAGTTCCATGCGAAGAGCATGGAAATCGGTAGTGGTTATCACAATAGGGGGAATCTTTTCCTTCTTGGCATTAAGCCGGGAAAGTTTACTAGAATTTTTCTTGGATGATGGATCATTCTCATCATCCGTTAGCAAATCAAATTGATTACTCAAATTAATTTCTTCAGAAGGGGGGTCAAGAGTTTGCCCCTTTCTTTTGCGTTTAGGCGCCATGGCGGCAGTAAATGTTTTATCCAAATCGACTTCCAAGCAGATTACTATAAGAATCTGAAGAATCGAAGAGGAATTTTCCAAATCGATATCCAAGAAGGATTACCTCGGGTAGGGTCCAAACAAGGATCGAAGAGGAATAAGAGGAGTTGAACAAGGTAGAAATTTTTTACAGGTTGAGCACTGAAAAGTGCTGTTTAAATTTGTTGTAGCTTTAGGTAGTAGTAACACTTCCTTAAGCAAAAAGCAAATAGATCCGCACGGCAAGAGAGCACGATGCGGACTGCGTCCAGAACTCTTGGTTTTGTCTTCAATATTACTAAGAACTTCACAAACATTTACTGCTTGAAATCGCTCTATTGCTCTCTCGTACGATTTACGTTGGAATACTGCTCTGCAGTCTGGAGCCCAAACAACAATAATGGGGCCATTCGCCGAAGATTCTCTGGCTTTTTTGCTGACTGAAGGCGCTTGACGCCCAACAGCTAAGTCTAAAATTTAAGACATATACATTTTTTGAAACCTGACAATTCTTTCCAAGTTATTTTCGTTTGTAACAGTATATGTAGTCTGTATAATCTGTACTTTTTTTACAACACGTCATTGGGACTATTTCTAGTCTGTTGATGCAAACATAACAGATAAACAAATAAACCTTCTGGTCTTAGAGTTACCTCTATGGCACAACGGCACTACAGTTACCTCTATGCTACAATCATGTCTGGCAAAGGTAAAAGGTTTTAGAATTCGTCAACCGCAGATGAGGGATTTTCGAAGATGGAAATTAACTTTCAAACTGTCATTTTTAACTGTGGATTAAATGTAACCCGACAATCGAGACACATTCATCGGTGGTATATGTTTACTGTGGAATAAATTGACTTTCGGTATGTTAGAACTAGCAAAGAACATGGGTAATTTATGTACAATTGAAATATATTGCTAACAATTTAAGCACTGTAAATAGAACATCTTTTTTAATTTCGCAGCTAAATACTTAGGTACGTAATTGGGTTTTCAAGCAGTATTTTTATAATAGGCAATAATTCTACTATGATTCAATAATCGAAGTAACGGTCTATGATTCTGGTAGGTAGTTTCGAGTTTAAAAAATACACCTAATTTTTAAAAAGCTATAGATAGGTACGAGACAAAAGACCCACTAATTATAGAATCAGCTTATTCTTGCTATTTTTATTCACCATGAAATGAAGCAACATTTTAGAGGAAGAAGCGTGACGATCACCTGTTCTGTAGAAGATGTAAACGACTACATGCAATAAAAGGGAATTACAATCTAACATTGGTCAAAAATATGCTGCCTCATCTATACATGGTCCCATGCAAAAACCAGCCCGTTTTACTCCTGTACAAATACTGCCGCTGTCACGCTGCCCTCAAAATTGATTCCAATCCTTTGGGTTGCCAGTCAGATGTTGCATCGGACAGTCGTCCGTGTCCTTATCATTGCCGTCAACTTCCATTTGAAGCGGCATGTCACAACCATTTGATGATGGTGCATGGTGATAGACATTGCAGTTATGATCCACATCCGGTTCGTACAGTCGGCGGGCGCATCTCTTCCGCCCGTTGCCGCCATCGCCGTTGCTTTTAGTTTGATTGTAGCTGAACAGCATCCAAAGCGGAAAGGACACTCCATCGGAGTGTACCTGCGCCGCTGGGTTCGCGTAGCTTAGTGGCGGGTGTTGATTCGGCACGGAGTACCCCGGGAAATGGGAGTCCAGTTGTGGGTGAGTTGTTTTCATAGTGCAATGCGGATGCAAAGCGCTTGGCTGTTGTTCTGGGTGGTAACCGATGGGAGTGGTTAGCGGAGTGGCATCGATTGTACGCTGCTGCTGGCTTTGGTAGGTGTCATATGGGTACGGGTATGGATAGGGGTTGAAGTAGGGCGAATAGTTGTTTTGCTGCATGAATACTGGTCCGTTGTAGATGTGCTGATTGTTGAATTGCTGAATGTAGGTAATGCCGTGGTTCCGTGGTTCACTCTGTGCGCAGTACGGATTGTATGGATCGAATTGACACGATGTTGTTGATGGCATCTCCTGGGTCAACTGACGCAATTGTACAATGTACTGCTGGTACGGAGTCAGCGATGTTGGTCGATTAGGATCCAGCAACTCTTGCCAGGTAGTTGCACTTTGAAATGGTTGGAAGAACGGCTTCGGTGTTGGTTTGTGCACAGAAGTCTGATTCGATTTAACCCAGGTATACCGTGGAAACCAGTAAGGTGTACTATTGTAGGAAACTGCTTCCGGTATGCACTTTACATTCTGAGGTTTGACTGGAGTTTTCTCGAAATCCTGCGTCCAGGCCGAGTAACGGTTGATATCGTCCTCCTTATCGCCCAAGTACAAGCAGCATCGACCCCTATGTTTGTGATCACAGTGATAGCAGTACGAAGGGTCCGGAGTTGAGCATCGCCCAAGTGGAATGTTGTTGTTTTGCTTCAGAAACATACTTTCCATGCGCAAATCGTCTTCCACGTCTCTGATATCGACGATGCGCGCGTTCAAATCAGCACGGTTGTGTTGATCGCGGTTACTGAATCTGTACAAAGGTCGCGATTGTTGAACGTTTGGCAGCAGATGTTGGATGTCGGCACTGTAGTATTGTTCGACGCCACTGTGACGAGGACTTGGCATTCTGGATTCAGGTAATTTCTTAACCTTCTTCCTCGAACCACTGCACTTTCCCCCCATTGAACTACTATGCACTCTTAACGATGGATGTGTCCCACGTTCTAGTAACTGACTGCTTTATTGTGGAAACATTCCTCTTTTTATATGTAGCCCTTGAACTCAAACGTATTCTACCTATACTAAATGACTGGCCTTTAAATTTTGTATGCTTTTTATAAAGACATAAACCCAAAGACAATACCACTCGATTACGAAGTATGCGAGGTAGATTATTAAGAACAAATATTTGCTGTGCTATTTTGGCTTCACTCGGACCCACCTTCTTTATGGCATCGTATTTTTTCAACACGCCTCCTAACTGCAATTATGTAAAATCAATTATATTTTCAGTTTTTGTATCTGTTGAAAATCAAGCATTTTTTAAATTTTGACTCAATAAGACCCTTAATTAGAAGTAACAGTATGGACTTACTTGTAGGTACCTATCACTGTCACATTTTTTTCAACGCCCAGCAAAATCCAGCACCGGCGGCAATCTCCCTGATATTTACTAAAGCTTCTATCCTAGTCGGTGACGTTCTGAAAAGTGAGAAAATCAAATCATAAATCATTCATGCGCTTTCGGCGCAAAGGCCAATAATTCTTACACATTCTCCACGCCTCCCGTTCCGCAGTTTCCGTGTTCGTTCCAACCCCAAGTGTACAAACCATCCACTGCCAACGCCAGCCCATGTTGCGAACCCAGACAAAATTTCTCCACCTTGCTCTCCACATCCAACAGCACTGGCTCACTGTGATCCCCATCGGTGGCCACACCCAGCTGCCTATAATTGTTCCTTCCCCAAAGGTAAACTCGCCCGTCGTTCGCCAGATAACCAGAATGAGACCACCCTGATTCCAACTGTTTCACCAACTGACATTGGTCCCGATTCAGTTCGCTCTCCTTGGGACATTGTCCAAATTTATTATCCCCTACGCAAACAATTCGCCCTTGTCCCAGTTGAATAACCAGATGATTTTCGCCACTCGCAACATTCGTAATGGGTTCCGTAAATCCCATCTCATAAAATTCCACGCCTCCGTGCACGCTCGGTTGTATATCCTCGTTCTGTAACCATTTGGTTTTTCCCAATAACAGCAATTTACCATCCTCCGTTAGGATGCAAGTATGCCTCAGCCCAAAGCAAACCTTTTTCGCCTTTGTGCCATTTGGCAGTGCCAATTTCGTCGGTACTGATAAATATTTCTCGCAACGGTTTCCCACTTGATGCCACACATTCGATCCCCACAGGTACACATCGCGTTCATTCGAGATAGCACCGGAGACATCCCAACCGCAAGAAATCGAACTAAAGCCATACTTCCCTACCAACGTGAATCGACAAACGTCTTCGGTATGGCCAAGTCCTAGCTGGGCTCGATGGTTCCACCCGGAGCAGTACACATCACCCGTTGTGTCCAAGGTAATAAGCGTATGACCACCACCAGCACTGATGGCGGCTATTTGGCGTGGATCGAAAGGAAGTGACTCAACCTGTTGCGGACATTCGCACATTTCTGAGCTGAAACCGAGACCGAGCTGACCGTGACTGTTGGCGCCCTGGAAATAAGTAGAAGGTGATTTACCATTGCCGATTAATTTATTTTATTTTTGCTGGTTTGCTTCGTTGGTCGACTTACCCAGCAGTACATGATGCACTCTTGATAAAACTGAAAATTATTACTTTATTAGGTTCACTGTTAATAGCTTATTAACTACCTACTACTAGGCAAAAATAATAATTTCTTATGTTCTCCAACACACGGTATACATAAACACCGTGCCTCCAACCGATCCAACAGTGTTTTTGCTTGGGTTTACACATTTTTTGTTAACCGCTGAAGGAAGCAAAATAATCGACATACAACAACAACATTGAAATATTTCAGCTCATCGCGGTGGGCTTGATGGTGAGTATAAATGAATTATAAATCGAGAGTGAATTTTCAAATAGCCAAATTAGTTTACGTGAGCGAGTCAAGAGCAATGAGCTGGATTACCGAGGTGGAGCAATCGGGTAATTATCGAATTTTGTTCATTTAAATCAAGAATATATATTTTCATTGTAAAAACATATGAATTATTATTCACAGCTACAAAATTTTGGTACTGCGGAGTCAATCGATTTTAATGTGCAAGCCAATGGAAAATTACTTTAAAAATTTCTCAACTGTAAAATTGGGTTTGCTACACGGAGAAGAAATACTACCCGAAATTTGAGTTCGTTTAACTTAATTTTGAGTTGAGCCTCTCTCTTGCACTCGTTATTGTTGTCTGAAAAGTAACGAGAGATTTGATCCAACGATATATAGATCAGCCCAATAAGTTACTTGTGAGTAAATTGCATAATTTGGAGGCGAACCAGCCCAAGGCTGAAAGCCTCCTTAATAAAGATAAATAATAATAATAATAAATTGTATAATCTCCGATTTACACGAGGCGTACTATTGAAAGATTAGTGAGTGCCAGGGGGAACGACACTTCAGGATTATCCCATTTTTACCAAAACCTCTCATAAAATTTTCAACGTGAACAAAATTTCAATCCATCCTATCTATTCTTTCTATTCTCAACTTATCCCTTCTGCATGCACACAAATTGTCAAGCAAGCCGTTCAGTTTCTCGAAGTTTTCTGGTCGACCGGGAAGCACTCTGCCATAACCACTGTCAGTTTTCAATTTTATTCACATAAACACCACGTATGTTAGCTGCACGAAACGAAAATCAATTATTTTAATCATGTGTTTCACTTATACATTTTTGCCAACATAAGCCTTATACATTTTATAAGACATACCACATAGGTCCTATAAGAATGCATTAAAGTTATGTGTGACCGCTTATACATTTCATTTGACACATGATATTCATTAACTTTTTGCAAGGCGTCTGCTTATTAGTTGACTTATATATTTTATGAATAATCAGCTATCCAGCTTTCCATGCTCGGTAATGGCGGCCTGTTTGTATGAATAAATGTATCCTTCACTGTGCTTTTTGACACTAACTGGAGGGCGTATGTTGTTCCATTTTCTACTGTTCCTGGGAGAGGGAAAGGGAAGGGGTTGAAATTCGAACATCCAGGTAGTTTTTTTTTTTTTTTTTTTTACCTAATTATAGAGATTTTTAGCCATAGGCTAGTTCATCTCTTACATCCAGGTAGTGTTAAAAAGCACAGTAAAGGATACATTTATTCATACAAACAGGCCGCCATTACCGAACATGGAAAGCTGGATAGAAAATTGCCAAAAGGTATAAGGAGATTTCTATCCGTGTGGCTATGCCGGTTAAAAATCGGTGCGAAAACCTTGGCGAAAACTTAAAAAAGGTGACGGCTCGTCTAAAATCGGTCGCGAGACAACAACAAGTGTATCACGGAGAAGACGGCAACGCTCATCCATTTCTCGGACTCAAACCGATCAAATTTGACGGATAAGAGCCCAGGTGTCTGTGAGCTGTAGCATGGAAGTTACGACAACCAGGTGGAAAAGGAAGTCAGGTCATTTTTCCACTCGGCTCAAGTTTTACTCGTTTACTCGTCAAGGATTCGGAGAAGAAAGAGATAATGGTGAAGGAAGACACCCACCGGCTGATGGAGCTTCTGTGCAAGAATATTGTGAATCAAATTCCCGTCCAAATACAGCTGGGAATATTAACCGGAAGCTAGTGATCCATCGCCACCACCCGTTCTTCGTACTGTGCAGTTTCAACCTACTTGGTACGGAACCATTTTCTGCACTTGAACCATAGAGGTAACTCTAAGACTAGAAGGTCCCGAAATAACGTGCTCAACTTTTTGGCTCAGCTCTGGTACTCTCTTCGGTCCCAAGCTAATCGATTCACCCCTCGAAACATAGGAAAAACCAATAACCCCTCATTTTATCTGTCAAACTTTCATAGCGAATCAAAACAAACATTGCGTAGTACTAGAATTTCGACTAGAATGGGGTACGTTAATCGTTTGCTTGGGACCAATAGGCTAGTCAAGTAGTGAGCCAATTTCAAATCGTTGCTTTCGTATTGATTGTTGCTTGAACTGTGATCTTTGGTTAACATTGTTGGGCGGTGTCCATTAATTATGTAACGCTAAAAATCGTTAACGTTACTCTGAAAATGATCCCCCTCTATTTATTACGTTACGCTCTAAAATATACCCCCCCCCATCCGACCGTCTCATTTCATTAATTTTTGATTCCGGTATGTCTTTTATTTCTAGGTAATTGTATTATTAATATTCAAAATAAAAACAAAAGATCAGCGTACCATTGAGTACCTTCTTTTCAAAAGTTTTGCATAGCAAAAATCTCATGATATAAAATTAAAACATATCCATTTTGCATGCAAGATTTAGTGATGACATTTTTTGACCTGTATTTTCAAACTTTACATCAAGAAACAAAAAAAACAAAATGTCCTCGTTTTTACGTAACGAAAAGCTTTACTCCTCCTCCCCTATGCAATAATTCGTAACGATATATAAGTGTCACGTAATTTATGGACGCTGCATTGCAGCAGATTTTTCTTCTTTTTACACCTATCCTCTTCGGGTTCGGACTTGTATTCCTCTGAAACTTTTTAACACCCCTCACATCACATCCATTCCTTGATCTATCTCATCTATTTTTTTTTCTATCCGTGCTCTATTTTCGTCATTTTCGTCAACACGACACACTCAAAAAACCTCATCAATTATGTTTTTCCCCGAAAATCCCAAGTGATTACTAGACTGAAAAAATACATCCAAATGAGTGTCATTCCCCTTGGTGAGTGCCCTTTGATAACCCCACTATTTGCAAATTTATATATTTAATGTAAATGTAAAAAATGAAGACAAGGCTCGAGACAAGGTCATTTTGAATAAAAAATACAAGATCCAAAATGACTTAATGTTTGCAAAAATGTGAATGATTGCCCATAAAAAAACAATTATGAAAGCTCGCTCTCATACAAATCCCCAAAGAGAGGCGCTATGAATGTGATTTTGCTTATGTAATCGTACTTATTTAAAATATTTCCAGTGTAACAAAATCAGGGGATGGTCAGACCTACCGATTTTTGGGATGCCTACCGATTCACAGACGAAAGGTTCAAAACTACCGATTTTTCACTTTTTCTACCGAGAATCACAGATTTCAAGGCTGTGTTCCATTTGGTGAATTTTCACTTAAACTTTACACTTCAAAAATAAAATATTGTTTTCATAAATCCCTCTGTTGTTGATCGTACGATTTTTTAGAAGGTGTTTGTTAAGATTGATTCCTGATCGGTCAGAAATAAATCTCCTGGAATACTAGGTTTATTTGAAAATTTTACATCTGTCAAATTTAAGTGAAAATTCACCATCGGAACCTAGATTGGAACACAACAGGCGGTAAGTCACTCCGCCACCTTGTGCTAAACACATAAAAAACACTCTTCGATACACTCAAACACCCTTCAATCACCATGAGGGGTATGTTTACATTCGTGTGATGCTCTTTTTGTTTTTGTTGCATTTTTCTTAAGTTTCGATCACCCTCCAGCAATCGATAGGATTCCACAGAAATCTGGTCGGGAAACGGACTCAGGACTCCCACAATTGGGGATAATGATTCAACGTCAAGCTCAACATTATAAAAACAGACAATTTCAGCCTCCAATAAGCTAAATTATCCGTAACTATATGAAGAAATGAGCGGATAATAATCATCAAGTCAATGGTTGACCGATGGCTGTAGAAAGATATGTCTTTCTAATTTGGTAGTCATTCTATCCAGCTTTCCACACGAAACGAAAATCAATTATTTAATTCATGTGTTTCACTCATACATTTTTGCCAAAGCATCAGCCTTATACATTCCATAAGACAAACCACATAGGTCCTATTAGAATGCATAAAAGGTATGTGTGACCGCTTATACATTTCATTTGACACATGATCTTTATTAACTTTGTGCAAGGCGTCTGCTTATTAGTTGACTTATACATTTTATGAATTATCAGCAATGAAAATTTGCCAAAAAGTATAAGGAGATTTCTATTCGTGCATGTTCGGTAATGGCGGCCTCTTTGTATGAATAAATGTATCCTTCACTGTGCTTTTTGACACTATCTGGAGGTTCGAATTTCAACCCCTTCCCTAATAAAATTGTTATGGTTATTTTGCTTAACGACGTGTTCCGGGTATCATCCAAACCATTTGTGGAATAGTTCTATTATCTGGGTTGTCGTTCGTTTATGGTTATTTTTTATTAGGGTTCCCTTTCCCTCTCCCAGGAACAGTAGAAAATGGAACAACATACGCCCTCCAGTTAGTGTCAAAAAGCACAGTGAAGGATACATTTATTCATACAAACAGGCCGCCATTACCGAGCATGGAAAGCTGGATATACGCACTACCAAATCAGAGAGATCCGGCCCACACCCAGCGGTTAATTCTTGCAGGACGAGTCTAGGGGGAACAATAACGAAGGTTGATCGAATGGTTGCTGAGCAGATATAGGGTCATGCGACACTTATAGCGAATTTGTTTTTCATTCAGTTCCAACCTGGATCGGGTATCAAGATTGGGTCTGCTTGTTTTCTGAAAAACGTCAGTTTGCTCGTTTGTTTTTAAAACCTAGCTCAGGTTGAAGTTCGCACTGACAAAAAGTTCGGTTTCGCACTGGGTTGGAACTGGTTCCAAGCTGGATAATAAACAAATTCGCTATTAGTTAGGGGAAACATGTCAGAAGGGTCTAACTCGAAACGCAAACAATGACTTGGATCGTCGGTTTCTTATGAATGACAACACACCCACTCAAACTAACTAAATCATCTGACAGAACAATGTTTGTTCCATGAGTTGGTTTACTCAGATTCCGTGAATGTTCAAGAGAAATCGACGTTCAAAGTCATTGTTTATGTTTCGAGTTATACCCTTCTGACATGTTTCGTCTAAGTTTTAAGATCCGCAATTACAAAAATGATGATGTACTAAAAAAATGTCATTCAATTTGACAGATATAAAAACGTCATTACTATTTTCACCCACTCGACATCTGAGAGTCAATCGTTACTTTGATTCTTCAATTGCGCGTGGTTGGTTTTCATTAATCTCCACTCACAAATGTTTCAAATTTCTCGAAAACCTTCTTATAAGGCGGCCTACCGATGACTACCGATAAAACTAAAAAGGAACAGCTCTATGGGGTTGTACCATAGAGGTAACAAGACCACTGGGTCTCGAAGAAAATCATTATTATTTTTGGCTCACTCAGTACCAGAACAACGGTCCCAAGCAGTCCCAAGCTATTTCACTCACCCCTGGATGTTCTGCATGAATCCACACACCCCTGATGTTATCTGTCAAACTTTCATAGCGAATCAAAACAAACATTGCATAGTACTAGAATTTCGACTAGAATGGGGTACGTTAATCGTTTGCTTGGGACCAATAGGCTAGTCAAGTAGTGAGCCAATTTAAAATCGTTAGTTTCGTATTGATTGTTGGTTGTACGCAATGGTGACGTAGGACTTCTTCTTCCTCTTATTCACATTTCAAGCTTTTTGCTTAGCGTATATTAGCTTATTGCGTGCTTTCAACTTAGTGTTCTAAATGCACTTCCAGGGAAGTCGATAAAAATTCCAACCTGACAAATTCCCTCGACTGGACCGGGAATCGAACTCACCGCCCACGTAATAAATCTAATTTGTTAACTGCAGCAGAAGCTTGTGTGTTGTGTAGGAATTGCACATTCGGGCAATTTTCAATAGTGACATTTTGAAAAATGATGAAGTCTTATACCATAGAGGTAACTCTAAGACCACTGGGTCCCGAAGAAAATCATTATTATTTTTGGCTCACTCAGTACCAGCATAGAGGTAACTCTAAGACCACTGGGTCCCGAAGAAAATCATTATTATTTTTGGCTCACTCAGTACCAGAACAACGGTCCCAAGCAGTCCCAAGCTATTTCACTCACCCCTGCATGTTCTGCATGAATCCACACACCCCTGATGTTATCTGTCAAACTTTCATATTATTATTTAACTTTATTAATGAGGCTTTCAGCCTTGGGCTGGTTCGCCTCCATCAAACTTTCATAGCGAATCAAAACAAACATAGTGTAGTAATAGAATTTCAACTAGAATAGGGTACGTTAATCGTTTGCTTGGGACCAATAGGCTACTAAAGTGGTGAGCCAATTTAAAATCGTTAGTTTCGTATTGATTGTTGTTTATACCCCGTTCACATTACAGCCTATATCACGTAATATAAGCTATCTTGCAATGAGCACTCATACATAGGATTTCCAGTGAAAACTAGATGTATGAGTGCTAATTGAAAGACAGCGTATATCACGTGATATACGGTGTAATGATTGAAAATGGTCCAGGGATAGCTGAGTTATTAACGTTCAAAATCTTTCATAATTTTGTTACATATTCCATTTCGGGTTTTCACAAAATGTACCCCCATATAGAAATTACAGACATAGTCCTACGTCAAAAGTTTTGAGAACCTACCCATAATGAAAAAAATGATCAGGCTAACCTGCCTGAACGGCCTGAACACGTCATCAGCAAAAAAGCAAAAAAGGGTACTTACCGAGGTACTTTCCTCAATACCAGTAAAGAACCCAATTTGAATTCGACTCAATTCTCAGTTACTCTCATCGTAGCGTACATAACGTACCATTGATTTCAGAATCCATCTCTTGATTACACGTCAGTTTGTCTGTTGACATTCAGTATTCCTCACCCGCGAACCCCGCGGATAAAGTTATCATCGACGAAAGTAACAAAACCAAGGACAAGGACAAGAAAAGTGCGAATATAACGATTCTGTGAAACCGCAAACGTTCTCCGCGCTGTTTATTCCAGCATAAGCATTCATCGACAGAAGGTGCAAAAAAAAAAACTGGGAGTTGTTTGCCCCGTTGAAGAAAATAACGTTCAGTGAAAACCCCGTCTGCCTCGGATTCAGTAGTGCCCTTATTGGAAAATTAGTGTTTACTTCCGCCAAACGGAACCCTTTGTACGTAGATCAATCCGTTTTTTTTTATTGTATTCACCCGACGGGAGCAAATCAACAATCCAACGCCAGCAGCAAGAATGGCCGAGATGAAAGTGGAAATCGACAGCGACGCTGAGCAGAACTATTCCATTGGCAGCAATGTCGATCCAAAGAACATGCAAGAGCTGACGATCTACGTAAGTAGAGGCCGATAAATGGTGAAAAGAGGGCGTAATTAAATTCGAAAGCTTTATGATTGATCATTTTCAGGTCCAGAATCTCCTTCAAAATGTACAGGACAAGTTCCAAACCATGTCGGACCAGATCATTTCCCGTATCGACGACATGGGCACCAGGATAGATGACCTGGAGAAGAGCATTGCCGATCTGATGCAGCAAGCGGGTGTTGAAGGTGCCGAAAAGTAGACGTCTCTCAGGAATCACTCGGAATAAGGTATAAGATGTAATCTGCTATCTGCTACTAGGTTTATGTTTAGATTTTATGCAAGCATGCATGAGCTAGTTCCGGCTTCCCTTCTCTATACTGTTTGGACGAGCGACATACAGGCGTGGCATTTATGGGAAAACTGAATGAATCCGGTAGGGTGCAGTAATATTGGGAGGGAAGTATAACATTATCGACAAAATTCACACATTTTTTTTTGCAATCACCTAGCATTACGGGAAGAAGAGAGAAAAATAACAATCGGTACGAACGAAGTAAACCAAAAAACAAGAATACAAATTTAAATATAGAGCACCCAGTAACAATACTCCTCTTGTCAGTTTCATTTATAGCTTCATGTTCCGAACGATTCCGTTGATCGATTTAATAAAGAAAGTTGTCCTGCCGTTGTTAGTAGTTTGATCGATAGGGGCTTTCTTGTGGAAATCTTGATTGCTCTGTGAAGGGAGGGGAAGCTTGTTTATTGGAATCCATTTTTTACTTGTTGTAATCTTTCAGCTTAATAATGGTAAACTTGGAATCCACCTTGGTTGCCTTCGCTTGCTGCTTAAGTGTCGCTTGTTCTTCGGAATCCGTTGCGGTGTCACTATCGTCATCACTGTCGCTTTCTTCCGTGCTCGTTTTGGAATCTTCCGAGAGGTCCCGTTTCATAGAATCCTAGCCAGAACAACGACAAATAAGTTGAAAGTAAATCCTTAATGACTAATTCCCGCGATAAGATGAGTCTTACTACCAAGGATTCTGCCGATCGGTGCATGGCTGCATCTACCGCTGAAGATCGGTGACCCTTTCGCTGGCCGGTTGCCATCAGACGCATGACATGATCTGGGTCGGCTGGCGATTCCTGTGATGGGTCCTGTTCTTGGGAAGAGTTCAGCGAGGTTGAACTCAAACTTTTATTCTTTCGATTCCCGGACGAGGTGGCCGCAAACATCGAACTCAATGCTCCCATCGATTGGGATTTGATGCGCTGCAGGAAGTACCGATCGGAGAGTTCGTCTTGTTGGAGGAACTTTTTGAATTGCTGCAAACGATTGGGTGCGAGGAGGTGGGAATGTTAGTAAACATAGGTCGCGTGTTCTGTGGGGAGTGAGAGTGAGATATTTGAGATTACCCTATTTTGCCGTTTGATTTCTTTGTGAACTCCCTTGTGGAAAGCGTATCAATAGAAAATAATGTTCGCATTAAATGACTGACTAAATTCAAACTGATTTAGCTTTCAATTACGCAAAAAGTAAATGCTAATCGTTTTAGTTCAGACATTAGAAGTAGTTTTGTAAAGTCTGCGAGTTTGTGATGTTATTTAGGAATGTCCGCAATTCCTAACATTATGTTAAAGTCCAAAATTTAAAGATTCCATAATAGTAACAATTCAACTCTCACCTGGTAGTCCTTGTTCTCATCGATGTCGGAAATATCCTGGTAGGTAGCGGACAGTACCTCGACCGCATTGGTATGAAACTTGAGCTCTATCATGACGAAATCCATCAGCATGTTCTTGAAATCCACCAACTTCTGCTTCTCGAACTTCCCGACAATCTCCTCCATCTCCTTCAGGCTCTTCGATACCTCCAGATTGGACTTGATCAGTTCCGCATCTTTGGCCGTCTTTTTCCCTCCCCGAGCATTCCGGGCTCGGGCCTGATCCAGCTGTTTCCGCTTGGCCAACTCTTTGTCCCTTACCATGATGGTATCCTTTACGCTTTCCTTGCAGTGCTTGCAGACCAGCTCGTACTGAGACAGTTCGGAGACGATCCGACTCTCCAGTCGCTTTACTTCCAGATCCTGAAAGTCGCCTATCAAGGTGATGGCTTTGGATAGGCTGGACAAACCGTTGGCGAGGGTTTTGTTGTACTTTTCCGACGAGGAACAGTCCTGAGTTACGTGAGCCAGCTCGTCGGATTTGTCCCTCAGTCGGGCTACTTTCCGAGTGAACTCGGCGAATGCCCCGCACAGCTCGCTAAAATGTTTCTCAACGCCGCTGATTCGGTCCAGGATGAACTTGGACTGCTCCTCGCACAGAATGGTTCCGGTGTTGGCACTTCGCAGCATAATTATTTCGGATAAAGGAATAAGAAGTGTCTTCTGAAGTATTCTAAAGAGATTGAAATTATGTTATGTATATGGGCCACGTGGTTGCTAGGATACTACCAGAATGCAAGCATAAAAAACATGATACAAATTTAGGGTGACCAACATGGCATTTCAGAAAGTAGTAAATTTGAGAACTTTGCATCAATCGAACCGACCAATTTATTCATTTTCCTCCGAACCATGTTCCATAATGATAGAAAGCGACGAGATATCGTCGACGGCTTGTTCCAGCTGAAATTCCGGTTCGTCATTCTCGACCAGCATGTCATCCTGGGCCATCACCATGTCCACCATCCGGCCCACGTTGCTCTCATCCATTTCGACTTCCTCCAGGTCCATGTCGGTAGTGTTCTCCTTACCCGTCGAGGAGGATGGTTCCTTGGCAGAAGCAGCAAGTGTTGCGGCCGCTTTCTGTGATCTCTTGTTAGCAATGGTCTTGAGCAGGGCTTCCGCTTCCCTCTTGGTCTCTTCGTGCTCCAAACACTTGTAGGCAAAGTGCGATGCCTTGTCAAATTGATCATTCTTCTCGTAGAAATTTCCCAAAGTCATGTAGGCATGGCACAGAGAACTCTTGTCCGCAACGGCCTTTTCATCCGAGCAAAATCTAAGCAACGCCGGAATGGCTTTTTCGATTTCGTCTCGCTTCTCGTACAGACGAGCCAAGTTGTACAATGCCACACCTTCGATGTCCCCGACGTTGTAAGCCTTCTGATAGCATTTGAGAGCATTATCGCTCTTATCCAGCTTTTCGTATGTCTCTCCCAGGGCAACCAGCATTCGGCTGTCGTAGGGACGCAGCTGTTGAGCTGCTTTGTAGTAGTGCAAACTGTAGAATGGCATTTTCAGAATTTCGTACGCTTGCCCAAGGCCGTACCAGGCACGGAAATCACGTCGATTGACCTCTGCAAAAATATCAGAATAAGCTCATCAAAATTATCTCAAACCACATTTAACCAGTCTTACCAACAGCCTGCCGGTAGCTCTGAATAGCGGCATTTGTGTTTTTCATCTCCATGAACTCATGCCCCATCAAAGTCCACGCCGAGAGATACCTGGGATTCAGCTTCAACGCCCTCTGGAAGTACACCACGGCCTTGTGATGATCCGCCCGGATGCTATAGTAGTTCCCTACCACGCAGCACGTTTCCGGGCTGTACTTGTTGATGTCGACCGCCTTGTGCGCCAGATGGGCCATCTCAGTCTTCATGTCCTTCACAAAGAGCAAGTTCGAGTACGAGTCCAAATTGTCCAACCGGTACGGATCCACCTCGTGCAGATGCCGGAATATTTCAATAGATTTGTCCACGTCCCGCTTGTTCGAGAAGGCAATCGCCAGCTGCGTCGGTATGAAAATACACTTGCCAAAGCCGGTGGTTTGTAGATGTTCGAAAATCTTAATTCCTTCGTCATTTAGGAACAACTCGATATAGGTGTATCCGATGAAGATCTGCTTCATCCAGTGGTTGGGCAGTTTTAGGTTTTGCAGCATATTTTTATCGGTAACCAGCGGAGCCAGCTCCAACCACGAACCCCACATCGTCGGTTCTGCATTGATGGCATCCACAAAGATCTGCACCGCCATCTGATTCAGGTCCAACTTCTTCAGGATGACCCCGTACAACCACAAACAATATCCGTCCAGTTTCTTTTGGCCATGATCCGCCCGGAGCGTGGCCAGCAGTTCGGAGAAGTCCTTCACATGACTGTTGGAGTTCACTATCGAATTATCGCTCATATTGTCCAAACGCTTCTTCTCCTTGGACATGTACGTCGCATACATGTGCAAGAATCGCGGAACCGTCGAGCTGCAATTTCGCGTAAAGTAAGCCGACCGGTCGTACTCCCGGACGTCGAAGTAGCTCTTTGCCAACACGTAGTCATCGTACTCCTCGCTGGCAATGCCGGAATGCAGATTTTCGAATGATTTACCGGTATGCTTCAGAGAAACATCAGACAAACCGTGGTTTAGCTCCGATAGCCATTTGGCACTCTGTACCAGACCCCGCTTGTTACACTCGATTATGCCCAGCAGTAGGTCCTGTTTCACGTCCTTCAGGTTTATTGACAATGTTTCGTTCATTTTCCGCGTCGGTGCGTTCTTTATAAACTACGAGAAGACTTGCAGATTATTCACAAAAATTTGCATCTCCGCAACGAAAAAAAAAAAGTAAACCGCTATTTTCTGTTGATAAACAAAACTCGGATCGACAGCGGGCGTTACAGCTGTTACGCAGTTGATCTGAAATATTTCAAAACTCTTGACAGTGTGTGACAGTTCGCCAGCAACAACATAAGATTGCACTTTTCTCGTGTGCGGTGTGCAGTTTTGCATTGTTGTTCCAGTTTTGTCCTCGTCCGATTTTTTCTCATCAGCTTCAACGCAAAAGTTCTTCACACTTCCGTGTATTTTCGTGTACCCCATCGTCTGTGCTAGCAAAATGTTCCACCTCTAAACATGGGCAACGATCAATCGCAGCTGAAGGGATTGGAGATCAGCCGGAAGGCCATCCAAGTGACGGACTACTGGTCCCTGTACAATGGGGAAATCCCGACGGAATCGAGCGTATCGGCAATTTCGATTTTCCAAGGCGAAACCCTGGTGACGGGTCAGTTTTGGACCAATCAAAATCCGCTGGAGCGGGCCATCCGGAACCTGAAGATCTATCGACACCCGAACATACTGAAGTACATTGCGTCATGGAACAAGGGTTCGCTGAAGATGTTGGCCACGGAACGCTGCCGACCGCTGGCCACTTGCTTGAACATTACCAGCGATGTGCAGATTTGTTTGGGTTTGAGGAACGTTCTATGCGCGCTGATCTTTCTGATGGAACAGGCGAATGTGCGACACTTGAGCATCAGCATATCTTCCATCTACGTAACCGATGATGGAGCATGGAGGTTGGCCGGATTCGAGCATCTGTGGACAGGTAAAGAGTTCAACTTAACATTGCTGGAAAAGTCTCAGCCTTATCGCTACCCGAAGGCGATCGATCCGGAAGAGCTTAAGAACAAGGGCCAAGGAGTGGAGCAGTACGCCTTCGCCGTAATGTGTGAGGAAATCCTGCACAACAAAACCGATAGCAACATTCCCGCGGTGGAAGATTTCAAGTTTTACTGCGCAACACACCTGAAGCATGCTAACGTTTCGATGCGTCCCAAGTTGTCCGCTATACTGCTTCATCCGCTGTTTAATCACGATTTCATCCTGATACATTCCTTCCTGACGGAACTTCCTCTGAAGAGTCCACAAGCCAAGATGGAGTTCTTCACCGGCTTAGCGGATCGCCTACGGACGTTCGATCCGGAAACCGTGGCCGAGCAGATGGGCTCGTTGCTGCTGTCCCGGATAGTACTGCTGGATACTACTGCTCAGCTGTGCGTTACCCCGTTCATTCTGAGACCCAAAACGGACGATCTCTCGTCGGGACTGTTTGTGGCCAGAATTTTCTCCACATACATAATTCCAAAGGTGAAGCAGGTTTTCTGCGTGCAGGATGCCCAAATTCGTCTGACGATGTTGGAGTATTTTCCGGATTATTTCCTTTACTTCAGCTTGGAGGATTTGAAGGACCACATTTTGCCGCAGGTAAGCTGATATATACGATAATTGAATACCTATTACACCTATTACCTATTACTGTTTCCAGTTGCTTCTTGGCATAAAAGACACCAACGACGTCCTCGTAGCGAAGACCCTGCTCTGCCTAGCGGATTTGGTTCCGGTTCTGGGTTCGGGCGTCGTGATCGGCGGCAATCGAAGCAAAATCTTCGCCGACGGGCGACCTCAGGGGGTTCCCGATCAGTCTAATCCCTGGAGTGGAGTTCGATCCATCACTCCGGTCATTGGTTCCGGTGAATTTCTTTCCGGTAGTCCCATTCCTGGTGGAGGTGCCGCCGTTGCTGGCACCGGAGAGAACTTTTCGTCCATTGTACACGGAGGAGATTTCAACTACATGCCGGAAAGGCTTTCCCCGGAGGGAGAAGACATTGACCACACCAACAGCGATCTCGAGCTGGAGGTGGACGAATGGAGCGATTGGGAGAACGATGTAAACGAACACACCGCCAGCCATCATATCAATGTGGAACAGGAAATGGAATCAGCCAAAACGGAGCCGGCGGAAGTCCAAACTGATTCGACTTCTGCGCAATCAGATAAAAATGAACCCAACAGCAAGCTGAAACGATCCGACCCATCACAGGCGGAAAGCATAGAGAATTTGGACATTAAAATGAAGCCGTTCAAAAAGCTGGATGCTTCCGCGGAGGAAGACATGGACTTTTTCAAAGATATGGAACCGGTTATACAGAAGGCGAATGTGCTGCTCATAAACGACGGTGAGGAAGAGGAAAGTAGTGAAAGCGTTCCCTTGACTACCGCGGTTTCTGTGGAAAAATCTGTGTCCGGCGCGAACGAACAAGAATCGCCGTTGATCAAGGTGGACAGCAGCCGGTTCGATATCAAAGTGGAAGACTTGGAGGTCAACGAGGATGGCTGGGATGACGAGGCGAGTGTGTGGTGAGTAATGGAACATTTTTTTTTAGCACGGGGTTAGTTAATACGCAAATATAGTTGATGTAGGGTTAGTGTAATGGCTTGACCGCGCTGAGGCAGATACATTGTTTTTGAGTCCTACCTGTTGTATGTTTTGAAACAGCTTACATTCTATAAGAGTAACGCCACCTTTACCATTGAATAAAATCATGAAATATTGTCGGTACCGAACAGGATGGTATACCTTGGCTAAGACATATCCGTATGATGTATGGATTCAAAATCAATAGGAATCTTTAAGGATAATAGGAGTTGTTGATAACCACTGTCTTAATATATTTCTAGAATTTTATTACAGCCGATATCTATTGTGTAGTGGTAAGCGTGACTGCCTCTCACTCCAAAGGGCCTGGGTTCAAGCCCAGTGGGTAAGTAAAGCCGTTGGTCCCTGGTCCATGAGTTAGCAGTATCACAGTTTATCTCAAAATTGAGCGTAAATTAAAAAAAAACTGCTGTATGAGCACAATTTAAAAGGATACATGTCTGAATTTTTGGCTACTGGCTCATCAAACATTTATCGGTTATCGGTATAGTATTGAGCTTCTTTGGTTGAGTATGTAAGCTATTTTTGGAAAACGCATATTTCTCAAATAAAAAACACATATTCTTGAAATATATGAACCAAACTTTTTTAAATTTTACTCATTTGTAGTCATAATAAAGATCAATCATATACCCCAATTGTCAATTGTACTATAATCCGTCCACTAAGGAAAAAGTTAAAAATCGAGCGTTTTACTAAAATGACTCAAACCTAATACAGGCTCTGCCAATGAAGTTTGGAAACTTTCTATCCACAGTGTTTCAAAAACTTGTCCATTCAGATAGGTGTACACAAAATTTTGAGATACACTGCATCTTACATCTCATGAAGCTTTTCACATCTCTCATATCAATGATAAAGCCTCATGAAAAGAAAACGGAGAAGTAATTTCAGGGGAAACATGTCAGAAGGTTCTAACTCGAAACGGAAACAATTACTTGGATCGTCGCAGGGTGGCCAGACCTACCGATTTATCAAACCGAGTTCGGTAATATTTTCTAAATGTGTTGGCAAAATCCACCCGCAAGCAAGGTGACTACATATAGGTGTTATTATGTGTCAAATTCATGATTCAGCCATGTTGGATTTTTGTATGGGACAGCGACCGAGTTTGTTTACAATTTGCTCTAAAACCGCACATCCCCCACCCCCCGCGACATCCTCGCCAATATAGTGACAAAGCTGCATCATCATGTATATACCCACCATGCCCGCAAGGTCCATATCTCGGAAGAAATGTTGTTTCCAGAGTTGATAATAGAAGAGTTACGCAGAGTGAAGCTTGCAACACTGATGTCGATCAATGTTAATTTTTTTTGGCAACCTTTGTTTTTGTATACACCTCGGATGACTTCACCTGGGATGTGAAAGTTTCCTCTAGTTTCGATAACAATACTTCCCACGCAACAGAGTCAGTTTGTCTACTATGCTCGATAGGTAAACGGTTTGACAGTTCGATTGGTAGATTTTGGTTTCAGTCTGCGTAACTCTTCTATTATCAACTCTGCCAAAAGTCAGTTCAATGACTTCTCGGCACTGCCGCGGCACACTGAGAAAAAAGTTGTTGCAAAATAAGTGTTAAAAGTTCAAGGGGGGAGGCGGCTGTCAAATACGAACAATTACGCCTACCTCGCATAACTGGTTCAAAACGTAAACAAACCATAAGAAACCTACAGGGTTTGATTACGTTTGGAACCAATTTCATACAAGAATGATCAGTAGGCTAGTCAGTAGGCTTTTGACTGATTTGATTTGACCTGCCCCCAGGTAGAGTGACCACCTCTTGGTGTTGCCAGCGAGGTTCCCTAATAAAATTGTTATGGTTATTTTGCTTAACGACGTGTTCCGGGTATCATCCAAACCATTTGTGGAATAGTTCTATTATTTGGGTTGTCGTTCGTTTCGAGGGGGGCGACACATCTAAATCTCAATTCTAGATGCTCAAAAAATCTCACACTAGCGAATCAATCTTCGAAAAATCATCTATCATTTTGCGCATCTACACCGTGCTTCAAATTTTCGCAGGAAATCTTCAAAATCGACATAAATCTTCCTTCTATCTACTCAGCGTACGTGCAGCTAGCCACAACAAAACACAATCTTTTCTGCATCGTAGATAGAGTCGCCCCCCTCGGTTCGTTTATGGTTATTTTTTATTAGGGTTGCCAGTAACTTTCAAGATCAGAAAAATTGAAATCATGTGTGCCAAACAGTGCCAATGACTGTGGCCAGGAGTGCTCAAACTTGTTTATGGCACACTATGCGGAGTGACCAACCCCTGGTCCCAGCAAGTGGTGCATTTTGACGGTTCGATTGGAACAACTTTTGACAGACGTCCATACTTTTACCCTGTAGGGCTTTATGCCTTGTTCAGACTGGAGAGTAGTAACAATCAATACGAAACTAACGATTTTAAATTGGCTCACTACTTGACTAACCTATTGGTTCCAAGCAAATGATTGACGTATCCCATTCTAGTCGAAATTCTAGTACTATGCAATGTTTGTTTTGATTCGCTATGAAAGTTTGACACCATGGTGGGTATATAAATGGTGATACAGCTTTGTCACTATATAGGCGAGGAGGTCGCGGGGGGGGGGGGGAAATGCGGTTTTAGAGCAAATTGTAAGCAAACTCGGTCGCTGTCCCATACAAAAATCCAACATGGCTGAATCACGAATTTGACACATTAGAACACCTATATGAAGCCACCTTGTTTGACACATAAAATGAGGGGTGATTGGTTTTTCCTATGTTTCGAGGGGTGAATCGATTAGCTTGGGACCGAAGATAGTACCAGAGCTGAGCCAAAAAGTTGAGCACGTTATTTCGGGACCTTCTAGTCTTAAGCGCTGGCCATTTACGTACCACGTACTATTAGAGTTACCTCTATGGTTATAACATGTTATAACGGTTGTCAAATAATTGCAACACAGAAACCACCATCAAGATAGCGCTATAACGTGTTATAACCAAAGAAGAATACTAAGATGAAACAGTCGGAAGAAAAACTTTCTATTTTAGTGTCCTCTTTTACGGTCCCTTCCATCCAATGAATACCCCCCGTATGCAAGGTAATTTTGTGGTTTTGCTGCCCCCTCGGTAGAGATGAAATTTCGCGCTCTTTTTTATCAAAACAATCACACCTAAATCAGAGATGTCCCATTTTTTAAATTATTCGATTAACATCTAATCGATTATTTTTTGTTCGCTGTGCTGTAATGTTTCCACTAATGAGAGTGCAGCATATGTTTGAAACGATGGGTGATGATCCTCTGGAGAAGTTAATGCTTATATCAGCATGATATAACCGATTACAAATATTTTACTTTTCGGTTCGTTAATCGATTAATCGATTATTCGAATGAAAATCGGCCATCACTAGATGAATGTTAAACGTCATTTCAAGAGCAAATTTTCATTATGTCGTAAGTAACATTCGCACCAATCCGAGAAAAATAAAGTTTTGTTTTGATGACCGAAAAGTTATTCCTATTTTCAATTAAACTAGTATAATCTCATAGTGATAGCCATGTTTAACATATTTAGCAGGGTTTTAATCATACAAATGCAAATCGCTAGCTTTCATGCTAAAAAACACTGGTTTTTGAGTCAAAAGTTATTATACGTCGTTTGGTGGCCCCTATTGTTACTTAAGTCAAAGTGTATTTACCAGGATATTAGGGAGAATTATCAATTACGTCTCCTTACGTGCAGCCCATTCATCATTTTAGGACCACCGAAATCATCTTAGCAACAAACAGTTCGATTTATTCACTTTAATAATGAAAAAGCGAAACGACGAACGTACACTTTTCACGGGTTTCTCAGCGCTGTTACTTAAGTCAAACGGCATCTCCATAGAAATTGGGTGACTTAAGTAACATCGAAAACTATTTTGATCGGAAGGTGATTACGTCAAAAAGCAATTTGACTAGTAAATAAATTTAAAAATGGGAATTGATTCTATATTCGGACAGTATATAGTGTAATAGCAGGAGAATCGATTGACACTGATAGCTCGACTTTGTTTACCTTTGTTACATTCGACGTAATGAAAATTTGCTCTTGATTTCAAATATAAGGCCGTACATAAATAATGATACAATTTGAAAGGGACCGGGGCTAATCACAAATTACGTCCCCATGGTAACTGAAATAAACACGAGTGCGGACCGGTTGTTATAACTCTGTAGTCTGAACCAAGGTGCCTACATATAGGTGTTCTAATGTGTCAAATTCATGATTCAGCCATGTTGGATTTTTGTATGGGACAGCGACCGAGTTTGTTTACAATTTGCACTAAAACCGCACTTTCCCCCCCCGCGACCTCTTCGCCTATATAGTGACAAAGCTGTATCCAAGGTTGCAAAGACTCATTTCAGCTAAAACAATGTTTTTCTAAATTATGAAATAATTAGATGTCATGATCAAATTTTGAATTGGTAGGATACAAGAAGAGGTTGCAAAGAATGTGTTTGACATATTAAACCTGTTTATTTCACTTCATGAGAGTCACAGTCAGCGATTTTTCACAAACTCACTCACTCACTCACTCACTCACTCAGCGATCAGCAAATCGCTGATTGTGACTCATAGAAAGCAAAATTTACAGGTTTTATGTTTCCAACGCATACTTTGTAACCTCTTCTTGTAAGTTACAAGTAAAACATGCCATCAAAACATTATTTTAGCTGAAATGAGTCTTTGCAACCTTGGCTGTATCACCATTTATATACCCACCATGGTCTGAACCGAGGTCTGAACGTACTATTAGGTTCTGCAGCGTGACGTCACAAATGAACTCAGTGTTAATAGGCTGAACCTTTTTGACAGTTCAGTGGTACTGTTTACAAGCACTTAGTCGTTTTTTCGAAAAAAAAAATCTAAAATTTCCGAATTTTAACTTGAAAATTGTCAAGGAACAGCGCGGTGAAAGGATGTTGCTCATGGACAGTGCAGAAGTGTGGTTTACATCTCACTGCAGTCTGAAAAATTATCGAGAAAATCTACCCAAGAAAAAAAACGACTAAGTCCACGTAAACAGTACCACTGAACTGTCATCAGATTGAGGTTAACCCCGACTGTGCAAAACCTAATTAGCTAAAATAGCTTTAGCAACGCAACGGGTGGTCTATAATTCGATTTCTCGCGTAGCATTTGAAAACGGCATATGACCAAAATTTAAACAAAGCGTTTTTTGATTTGATTCTATAGCACCGCTAAACAGCTACCAGCAGGGTTGCTTCTACTCACTTGCTATAAAAAAATATTTTTAGGAATTCTGCAATCATTAGATATTATAATGATATGTTGTATGTACATGTAAGTAACAAGAAGAGGGTGTAAAGTATGTGTTTGATTTATAAAACCTATCAATTTCGCTTTCAGAGCGTCACAATCTGCGATCTTATGATTCGTGAGCGTTCACTCAGAGTGAGCGCTCACGAGTCGTAAAATCGCTGATTGTGACGCACTGAAAGCAATATTGACAGATTTTATGTGTCAAACATATACTGCATGACCTCTTCTTGTAACTTACATGTACAACATATCATTATAACATCTAATGATTGCATAATTCCGAAAAACATTGTTTTATAGCAAGTGAGTGGAAGTAACCCTGGCTACCAGTCGTAAAGAAATGTTCCACATTAATATCGATAAAAATCATTAAAAATAACTTGATTTTTATAACGGCCGATAAACGAAATTTTTCGAATCATTCATAACTAACCTGATAACTAACCCTAATAAAATAGTTATGGTTATTTTGCTTAACTACGTGTTATGGATATAATCAAAACCATTTGTGGAATGGTTCAATCATTTGGGTTATCATTCGTTTATGGCACCTTTTTATTAGGGAAAACGGCCATATAACATATATTTTGTTCGTTCCATTAGGTTCCATTGATAGATCTACACTGAAGCAAAATGCACTTAAGAATTTAGTAAGGCTCGACTTAAGAACGACACGTATGAATTTCATAAGTGTGACTTATGAAAGATTTTCGTTTATCATCAGGTACGAGATCAGGGAGCTCTTATTCGCCTTTAAACATTTCATTTTCCCACGTGTTGAAAGAAGAGTCGCTAACCCATGGGCCCTGTAATTTCAAGGTCCATGGTTCGGTTCCAGACTGCTCCGATTTATTATTTTTTTGCCAACATTATTTTTCATAAGACAAATGAAATTCATACCGATTTCTTGTTGCAAAAATTCATAAGTGGTTCTTATGGAATTCTTACGTTCTTTTTCGTAGAAGGGCCGATGATTTGTTTTGCATTTATTTGACGTTAACAAAAGGCTTAGCAAAGGGCCTATAATTTCTGTTGACAAGCACAACGGTTTAACAAAAAGGGCCTAACTATTGAAAGGTTTACAAAATGGCTTATTAATTCAAGACTAACAATTTAAAAGGCCTCAACTCCATTTTGTAAAAAAAACCTTGTAGGGTCATTTTGTCGTGAACCGAAGTCCGTCAACGCAAACCAACAAAGAACAGGTAGGAATTTTTCTTCTACCCGATTGGGTTTTAGGCTTGCGACTGTACACTCAAAGGATTTTCAAATCTAAATAGATTAAAAGTTACGCTGAATTGCAACTCTCCTTACCGACGCATAGCTTTGTATACAGCGAAAACCCAAAACTTGATAACTTAAAAAATATCGATTTTTTGGACCACCCTAACATGAAAATGGACACCCTAATGCCCAATAAAAAAGTAAGAGCTTGTATCCAAGACACGACCGTAGATTTGATGTAGGATTACATGCTCGGTATCAATATTCGGTGACTGTGTTAAAGGTCCGTTTAGACTATCTGATTTCTTGGTCTGATTTTGATCGCCGTCATAATGAAAAATCTGCTCGAATTTACTTTCGACACACTTTGTCGAACTCCCCTGTTCGCTGGTGTTCACACTGCTTGAACATGTCGAAAGAACTGTCAATTGACCACTTTGTCAAGCAGTTTTGGCTCGACCTTCTACCAGCGATTTCACAAAACTGGACCAACTGATTTCTATTTTTTTATGAAACGCACAAATGTTGGCTACTGTTCTCGTGGTTCTATATATAAAGAGAGAGAATACTAACTTTGTATAAACTGGTTTATACATTGGATGGTATAAAATTGAGGTATTCTTCTGATGTATATTATGCGTTTATACGGCAGATTCAATTATTTTTGTTATGTGGTTTGTTATGATTGAAAAACATAAACAAAAAGTTGGAGAGATTGAACTGTATGGTTTCGGGTACGAGAAAATGGTCTTACAAGGTTTGTTTACAAAATGGAGTTGGTCTTGAGTTAATAAAATTAATTTTTTATCGATTTTCATATATTTTTGAAAACTTTTCGCATATTTTGGATGTTGTTTGCTGAGATACAGTTTCTATTGTTATTGTGAACAATATTAATGTTTTAAATACTTCAATTTCCTTATATAGGGTTACGGTATGTAATGTGGGTCTAGTCCTTTCATTCGGCCTATCACGCAAATAAATAATTAATTAAGGAATATTACACAAAAAATAAGGAAAATATTGATCACTGATGGTTGATAAATGTGTACCACACACAAATCAATTTATATCACAACATTTCAATACATTTTCAGCTCTCGTAAGTAATAAAACTGGTTGAGAATATCACAATGTTCGGAGTTTTTAGCCGCCATGACTTATAAGGTTAAGATGGGAAGGTTGACTGACGATCATCAAATGGCCTGATTATGGCATTTATTGATTGGAATTACCTGATAATACACACTAGACGTAAAACTTACAGTTGCTGTTTGAATATTTTATGTTTATTTTAATTGTTTAACAACGTTTTCACAAGTAAAACATGGACCCAACTTTAGGGACACATTTCTTTTCTATGTTCCTAACTATGGCCCATGAAATTCATTTGACAGCATATAGCAATAAGAGTAACGTCAACAATGTTGTTTTGCATTTGGATGATAAGGAACGAACAGGAAGGGAGATTTTTTCTGCCAAACCTGTATAATGAACATCACAATGTTCTGATTTAGATATTCTGCGGTCAAAAGACGATAAGCGAAATTTTTAATTTTTAATTTTTAAATTGAGTGATTTAATGTAGTTTTCGTAAAATTTTCTCTAAGAAATGTTTTGAGGAATGAAGAGCATTAAGTTAACAGTGATAGTGATAAAAAAAAATACATCAGAAAACGTTACCAAGAGCGTTTTTTTGAGGATCAAACAAGATAGGACGAAGTTGCATCCATAAATAGACCCAATTTGGGGACAATAGACCCATATTACATACATTTCCCTCGTGAGTTATTGTCTTAAAAAAAGTAAGTTTTTCAACTTTTCGTGGTTTCTGATAGCAAACGACATGATAAGCATATCTAAGCATACCATTTAGCAGTAGAATATCGTTTGCAGGTAAATTCATTGATGAGTTATGATTAAAAACGTAATCGATGGCTGCATATTAGACCGAGGTTAGGGACGTATACCCTATGAATTAAATATTGGCGGAAAATTTTACATTTAAATTTTCTGGTTTGTTTACATTTTGGACATATGCCCTTTTCAAATGTTAGAGAGATTTCTTTACATTTGTAACTTAGGATCTTTTGAAAAGTTCTGCGAGAACTGTCACTGTCGATTGCGTCACTGATGTCACTTTGTTGCAATGTCTTGGAGTACAGGTATTGCAAAGCAAATTTGCCGCCTCTTTCATTTTCCCACTGTTCTTATAATGTATTTTATAAGATTAGCGGGCGAATGAAAAAGAAAACAAATTCGCATTGTTGGACCTGTTCTCCATTACTTTATTTTGTTGCTGCAGCATCAGCACCCACGCATTCGAAATCTTAAATAAAATTTTTCGTTCCGTTTTGATCTGCCTCATCGTCAGTGCCCTTTCTGTTTTGCTACCCGGATTCGTTTGTGATCGCTTTGTTGTGTGTGCTCGTTGCTCACATTTTGTCTCGGCTCCTCGCAGACGATAGAAACTACAACCAGAAGTGCACAGTGCAGAACATCGCGGCATACATAAAATTAGAACGCAATATTCACGCATCCATCGCGGGTCGCGGGGATATTCGCTCCCGCTCGGCTATAAATAGATCATTATTCCACTCGAATAACGCCAACCAAAACGGATTGAAGATTTGGATTTCGTCACATCAAGTGCGGAGGAATTTTCCGTCTCGGGCAGCCATTCGTTGTTTTCAGTTTTCAAGTAGAATTAATGCAGATTTCCTGGAAATTTCGGTCAAATCTGCATGATTCACAGTGAACAATGATGATGGCACAGAGCGAGGATCCTCCCTTCGTTGGGGATTGGTATCGTGAGAAGAAATTGGGCAGTGGTGGATTTGGTTTTGTGACGCTCTGGAAAAATCACAAGACCAAAGAGATGGTTGGTAAGTGGCGCTCGATGAATTCTCTGCTGCTGATGTAACCATTGTTCTATATTTGCAGCTATCAAAAAATGTCACATACTGCTTGATAAAAGCGAGATGACTGATAAGAACTGCGAAAGGTGGTGTAACGAGGTGTCGCTGATGACCAATAAAGTGCGCAATGAAAACATTGTCCGGACGGTGCAGGTTCAACCGGAAAGCTTTCTGCAGGAATTGGTCAAACATTCGGCAAATAAGTTGCCCGTTCTGTGTATGGAATATTGCGAGGGAGGCGACTTGCGGAGAGTACTGAATCGCGTTTCCAGCTGCTGTGGATTGAAGGAACAGGAAGTGAGAGACATTCTGCGATCGCTAAGGAATGCGATTTCCTGTTTGCATAATTTGAAAATCACTCACAGGGATATTAAACCGGAAAACATAGTCCTGAAGCAGGTAGGCGACCGAACGGTCTACAAACTGACGGATTTGGGCTATGCAAAAGCTCTGGACAAGCAGAGTTTGAATGCCAGTTTGGTGGGAACGGTTGAATACATAGCGCCAGATTTGATCTACTGTGATCGGTACAATTGTTCCGTCGACTACTGGTCCATGGGGATTATTGGTTTTGAAATCATGTGCGGAGTACGTCCCTTTATTCCGCACTCCATCGTCGCTAAATGGATGATGCTCGTGCAGCAGAAGAAATCCACGCACATTGCTATTACGGAGGACAACCGGGAAAATTATACGTACCATACCGAAATTTTCCCGGAAAATAACATTTCCCATGTTTTGCAAAAGTACTTGGAAAAATGGCTGACGCTTGCTTTGGAATGGAATCCAAAACAGCGTGGACATGTCTTTCAGATTGGTAATAAAGAGGTTACCGAACAGCAGCTGAAATCCGCCAAGGTGGTCAACAACTCTGAACCACCGAGCGGCCAACCGGTTCAAGTGCTCAAAATATTTGCAATGCTGGATTCTATTTTGGATACCAAAATTCTTACCATCTTCAGCTTGTACAATTGCCGCTTTTTGAGCATTGAAATTGACGAAACAACTGACATGGAAACGCTTCGCTCGGCAATCGAAACCCAAACTAACATCCCTCGCAATGCAATCGAGTTCGTTTTGCCACTCGAGCAAAAACTAGACCGTGTCACGGACAGCACGAAACCCATCGATCTACATCTAGACGGATTCTACGACAAACCGATGCTGTTTGTCGTCAAACAAGGAACCATAATGCAGCCGGATTTGAAACCGCACATCCCGAAGAGTGTGTCGGACGTGTTCCAGAACATTAAGTTGAAACTGAAGCCGCACATGTTGAGGCAGTTTGTGTCGAACGCTTGGTACTTTGTAAACAGCGAACAGCGAACCTATGTGACGACGCTGGACGGCATAAAGAATTACGGATTAATGCTGAACGACGAGATAGTCAAGTGCCGGGACGATGTTGGAAGGATGAACAAAGTTTCCTATGGAATCAGCGGAGGGCTGGAATATCATAAGCTGTCGCTGAGTCTTGCCAAGGAGAAGGCGAAGTCTTATCAGGTGAGTGGTCTTGTTGTAAATGAGGTTTTTGTTTTCGCTAGAATGTTTTACCTACCTATTCCAAATGCCAGTCGAAAGGTGTTCTGCCCCGTTATGTCGGTATATAATGTTCTAAGACTTTCGGATGATTGACTAGAGAAATATTATTCGCCTGTGTCTGACAAATAATTTTTTTTTGATGGGCTACGAATCGCCAGGTTGATTCAACGCCGAACGAAGTACTCTTCTCCATTGGACTCGGTCCTGAGCCAATCGCTTCCAGTCGCCATGAACGTTTAGCGACCTGATGTCCTCCTCAACTGCAAATAGCCAACGTGTCCGAGGTCTACCCCGGAGTCGACGACCTCTACCGGGTTCTCTGCTGAATATAATATTTGCTTGTCGTTCTTCCGGCATCCGCACTACATGCCCAGCCCACCGTAGTCTGCCGTGTTTTATAAGCTTCACTATATCCGTACCGTTATACACTTGGTACAACTCGTGATTCATGCGACGCCGCCAGATGCCATTCTCCTGTTTACCGCCGAGTATTGTTCGCAGCACCTTACGCTCGAAGACACCAAATGCTCTCCGGTCAGACTCTTTTAACGTCCACGATTCGTGGCCGTAGAGGGCTACCGGAAGTATCAGCGTCTTATACAGAGCGAATTTCGTTTTCGTTTGCAGGCTACGGGACTTCAGCTGGCTACGTAATCCGTAAAAGGCCCTGTTTGCAGCTGCAATACGTCTCTTCACCTCGCGGGTAACATCATTATCGCATGTCACTAGTGTTCCAAGATACACAAATTCTTCCACTACCTCAAATTGTTCACCATCTAACAACACTACACTACCAACACCACTATTGTTCCCACGCTGTCTACCGGCTACCATGTACTTCGTTTTGGTAGAACTTATCGTGAGCCCAATCCTCGCCGTCTCCCTCTTAAAAGGCACAAACGCCTCTTCCACTGCTCTACGGTCAATTCCGATGATATCGATGTCGTCCGCAAAGGCAAGGAGCATGTACGATCGTGTGATGATGGTACCGTTCCTCTGCACACCAGCTCTCCTAATCGCTCCTTCAAGAGCAATGTTGAACAGTAAGTTTGAAAGTGCATCACCCTGCTTCAATCCATCTAAGGTCACGAACGAGGTCGAAATCTCATCTGCAACCCTTACACTTGATTTCGATCCATCTAGCGTTGCGCGAATCAGTCTAATTAGTTTCGCCGGAAAACCATGTTCTAGCATAATCTGCCAAAGCTCATTTCTCTTCACTGAATCGTATGCTGCTTTGAAATCAATAAACAGATGGTGAGTCTGCAAGTTGTACTCCCGGAATTTATCAAGGATTTGACGCAGGGTAAACATTTGATCCGTCGTTGATCGGCCCTCACGAAAACCAGCCTGGTATTCACCGACGAAGGACTCCTCAAGCGGTCTCAATCTGTTAAACAGAACGCGTGACAGTATTTTGTACGCCGAATTCATCCTCATCAAACCAGCCATTACGTGGTCGTCTTTGAGCTGTACCTATCACTTCTTGTGCTGTTGTGTTCACCGCTCCGTGGATTGTGTTCCACAGATTGTTGAGGTCCTCGTTCACGTTGATTTCGCTAATCCGCTCATCAAGCTTCTGGCGGTACTCTGCAGCAACACCTTCTACTGACAAGCGATGGATATTGAAACGCATCGATCTCCGGTTCGTTGAATTCGTAACGGTCGATAGACGCGCCCGAATTTTGCAGACAACAAGATAATGATCTGAGTCAATGTTAGGCCCCCTAAAAGTCCTTACATCAATGACATCTGAGAAGTGCCGGCCATCCACCAACATGTGATCGATCTGGGTGCAAGTTTCGCCATTTGGGTGTCTCCAGGTGTGCTTTCGGATATTCTTGCGTGCAAAGTAGGTGCTACTGATGGCCATACCTCTAGCAGCGGTGAAGTTTATCAGTTTCAGGCCGTTATCATTGGTTACTGTATGTAGGCTCTCTGTACCAATGATTGGACGAAAGAAATCTTCCCTCCCGACCTGCGCATTTGCATCTCCGATTACAATCTTCACGTCGTGTTTTGGGCACTCATCATAAGTTTTATCGAGACTGTCATAAAACGCGTCCTTCACGTCATCGGATTTATCGTTGGTTGGCGCATAGATGTTGATCAGGCTGTAGTTGAAGAATTTGCCCCGAATCCTTAATACACAGATGCGGTCGCTTACCGGTCTCCACCGCATAACACGCTTCATCTACTTCCCGATCACTATGAACCCTACTCCATGTTCTGCCCTATCGCCACCGCTGTGATAGATATGATACTTGAAGGAAGTGTTGGCGATGGGATCCACCGCCCGGAATTCACGTTCTCCGGATCTAGGCCACCGTACTTCCTGAATAGCAGCTACGCTCACATTCACTTTTTGCAGTTCACGAGCCAAAAGGCCCGCTCGTCCAGGTTCATTTAAGGTTCTGACATTCCAAGTACCGAGTTTCCATTCATTGTCCTTATTTCGTTGCCGGGTCGGTTGCCGAAAATTCCGTTCGTTGTTTTCTCTTTCTTCGTTTTTCTGAGTAATGTTGGGGGTTTCAGTATGCTACCTTAGCGGGGTCGCGATACCTACATCATGTTGGTGGGGCTGCCACCTTAGGTGTAGCTGACGTGATACAGCATTTCTTATTCAGCCGCTCGCTCCGAGACAGACGCTGTTTGAGCCGCACCTCCATGGTGAACAGACGTTCGAGGGTCGCACCCCCTCACTTTGCTATCACCACGATCCGGATCCATGTTTTTATCGTGGTGACATTGCCCAGGCTACGCTACCAGCATCTTTTGCTGGCGGTCTTTGTCATCGGCTGACCCGTGGAAGCGTGAGGTAGGAACTTGTGAGGACCAGAGCTGTTGGGACAACACTCCTTCCAGTTTGTCGACTCACCATTTGTAGCCTGACAAATAATATTCTTATCTAATAACATCAATGTTATCCATTTGTTGTGCTGCTGCAAAGCGGTACTGAAAACGCTTGCACATTGTTGTTGAAATATGCGTATCTGTCATAGATACTAATTTAATTAATTAAAAGCAAAAGAATTATTGCTCCTTTATGTATAATACCAAACAGGTTTTTCCTAGCATTGAACGGAACCGATTTTGTGGTGGTTTATTAATTTATTTGATAAGGCTCAACCGAATTAACTTTACAGAGCCGAGGATTCTTGGTCACTATACAATACATCTTAAAACTATAGTCAAAAGGTACAACACAATAAACACTTTATCTTCCGCTATCCAAAAAGCCTCCTCCATCAGAACTGGAGCCGCTTCCAGTGGTTTCATTGTATGGCAAATTGTTGTACGCCAACGAGGGTCAGAGCGCGTCCATTGCAGCAATGGACGCAAAACGTGGTCAGCACTCACACACTCATCACGAAACGGTTGCTTTCCAAAGTCGACGACCACGCATCGACCGAAAGAACTGCTGATGAAGAACAATGAGGAGGACCACACAATGGTTGCTGCCGAGAAAACAGACGATAGAGTAGCACACATCGAGAGTGGCCTGCTTTTGTCGACAGCCGAGTGAACACTGGAACCGATTTTGTAGTTCCTATTGTCAAATATCATAAAGTTTATCTTCAACATATAAAACGAAGTTACGTTTGAGCACTAGCTTGATCGCTAACAGAATCTTTTCGAGCACAATGGCTTCCATCTGGACTAAGCTGCGAAAGTTCATTTTCTACAAGTTGGACACACACATGGGCACTGTCATTGTCTCATCTACATATGTACTGTCGAAATTTCCGAAGGATGTCGAATTCGAAGGATCCGTCAAGATTCTCAAAAGCTCTTTGGTCATGAAACAGTAACAGAAGAATAACGGCCTATAATTAAGGAAATTGAGAACTCAAGAGAAGCCTCTTCAAAAACTACACTATAGTCATGAGAAGACAGTGTTCATTGGTAGGAAAACGCTGCGTTTTCGAGCAAGCAGATGGAAAATGCAAGTTTTGCCATGGCGCTGGCAATCAATCAAGGGAAGGACAATAATTGGATCTTTAATTCGGGTGTTTTGGATCATTTCACTAGGAATCGCGTGCGGAGAACGCCAGTTTCGACGTCGTTGAATGTTACTCAAGTGATCAGTATATCTATCGGTTTAACAATAGCATGCTGGTCATGATCTTCAATAAATCCAGTCAGAGTACAATCCCTCATCAATTGCGGTTGCCTAGATTTCGAGCGGTAAAAGGTTGCAGAGAAACGCATCAAGTTAGGGGGTTAGGCCAAGTGGAGCAAGGCCAAATGCATTGAAACGTCATTGAATTTTCTTCGTCGTACGGATGAAGGTAGGAAAAATGAATTAGCTTGGAGCGCTTATTTTGTTTTCGAGAACAGTGGGGGTGTAAATATTAATATTTTGCACTTTTATAGTCTTTGTTTTGTAACTTTTAAACTGAAGTATCGGATCAAATGTATTATTGATTTGTGCACGGTGAAATCATTTAGATGTTTGATGTTTTCTACTCGATAGAACGGAAATAGGCGATTATGACAAAATAGCGCTGTATTAACACTTTAGTCAACAGTGATTATATGATATCTGTAATCGGTTCGTTATTGATAAATTTGGATTGAGCGTCCGTATCATTTAATAACAGTGATCGAAGCAATGCAATCAATTCAAAATTTAAATCGCCAACTAATCGGACATCCCGCTTTTCAGCTTCCACTCGACATGGTCCAGCAGCGCTTCGCCGTATTGGAAGAACGGTGCATCCGAATGGAGGCTACCATCTGCAAGCTAGCGGAGGTGGCAGACAAAATCACCACCCGTTACGAGTCGGTGCTGAAACGCAGCCGCGAGGTGGTCGGCCATCAGCTGCTCAAAGGTTACGAACAGCAGGACTATTACAGTCTGAAGCATTTAGACGGTCGGTACGAGATTGCCCGCGTACAAATCCTGGAAAAGAGTACCCACGAAAAGTCGCACATCGATATGTTGCAGGCGGTGTACGAGTGTCTGAAGAAGCGGGATATCCTGCTGAGAGATTACGACTTCAAGGAGCTGCAGCAGTGAGTTGATCCTAGCTTGAATTGTTAATTTTCGGTAAACCTATTTTTCTGATTGTAGACAACTGATCGATATTCGTCGTGAAAAGCAAGAAATAAGGAAAGCTCTGGAAAAAGCACAAGAGCACGCGGAAAAGTTCAAGAAAGACTTGGCCAAAATGATACTGGAGCACAATGATAGCATCTGGAGCCTGTTTCTGCAGAGTTCTACCGAAGTAACGCAGAAGCAAGCGGTTCTTTGTAACGGAAGTGCACCGATCATCCCTGATATCGAACGAATAATGGGAAGCGCTCTTGTGAATGGCGACCTGCCTGGTGCTCCCAAGTTCCACGTCGGTGGCACGGTTTCCACATTGCAGAATTCGTTTGGTAACGAACCAGTCAGCAAGAGTTTACTCTGCTTCGGTGAAGGGCCGGATGTTGAGTCGTTGATAGCTGCCAATCAGTCGTTGATCATGACGTAAGTTCGATCATCGTTTATAAGTTGCTGTAATGATTACCATTTTTTCCTGAATTCTAGAACTGACGATCTTATCAGCGATGCATTCGAATGGATGAAGTAAGCTGACTTTAAAGCAATCGATTTCTTTGCATTTTTCATAGTCAATTAGGATAGTGCCTGCAGAACGGAACGTTTTTCTTGTAATCCCTGAATGTGATACGTCATTGGTCGTTTAGAGTGAAGATAGCTTTTTCATCTACAAACGCACGATTCGTAAAATTCATTTGTCATTTTATTTTTAATGTTTATTACTATATATATTTACAGAACAAATAAAGTTAAGTCTTATGTTAATGGCAACAGTCGTAGCTTACTTGTCTTCCTTACGCCAGGTGCTCAGGTAGCTCATGAGATCGGTCAGTCCTTCGAACTCGGTTCTGCTTGTGGGAGGATCATTTTTCGGTATCCTTGGAAAAATGGTTCCGACTGATTCCCTGAATTCTTTCATCTGTTAAATAAATACAAATCCAAATTTAAGTCATTCACCACGTTCCAGTACATTTCTAAACTCTCACATTGGTGGCCCCTGTCAGTTTCCATATACCGTAGCAAATGGTACCGGTTCCGATAAAGGCGTACAACGTTCCCCAGCCGAGTGCTCGCATGGCAAGACTGGCACCGGTTTCCTGCATGACGATACTGCCTCGGACACCGCTTTCAAAGAACTGTGGATCGGATTTCTTCACCGTCATGATCGTTTTGCTGAATCCTGCCACAGCCGCCATGCCAGCGACTCCAGCTAGAAATGCACCAGCTGAAAAAAGGTTTAAGATGTTTCAAAAACAACAATCTTTTGAATTCCTATTGATATGCGTGCTTTCTTACCTCGATAGCGATACTTTCTCTCGTCTTCAGTCATTTCCCGGCGCTGTAATCCGGGTTTCGATTCTGTTGGTTGGTCCATGCTTGTGAACACTGGTCCGGGCGGGTTTTTACATAACCAGATCAAAACAAATAGCTGTCAAATGATTTTTCTGTGATTGAACGGTGTTGTGTTTATATTATAAATTGTGTTGGTGTTGGTAGCAAGTGCACCGTTTTGTAGCTTTCGTAGCCCGCCACGTCAGTATTTATGGCGCTGCGTTCATTATCAAGAGGATAATAATGCGCGTGTATCTCCTTAGCAGTGCATTTTCTCGTGTAAATTGGGTTGTTTAATTTTGAAAAATATACCAATTTTTATACATCATCTGATAGAGCTTGGTTTTCTGAGCACAATGATTTTTTTTTTTCTTTATTAAAGAGACTTTTAGCCTTGGGCTGGTTTGTCTCTGGGAATCCCAGATGGGGAATCCCCTATTTGAGGGGGGTGGGAATTCCAGAGGGAAATTACCCTAACAACATAGTTTGGATCAGTTGTTCCACAGCTGTCTACAGCAGCAGTGGATTTTTTATTCCGTTGTGAACCACACGATAGCCTGTTTTCGAGACTCGCTATTATATAGTTGCTCTTTGTTCGTTGCTAGCAGTTCGGTGCCTTTTGTTGCTACGGTGCAAGATGTGTGAAGTAAAAAACACCATCAAGTTTAGCTTCAGCCATTGTGATGCCAAACCAAACATCGGAGAGATAGTAAATTTCGCCAAAGCACTCGACGCGGATCCGGCTGAAATGGAAGCTGTTTATCGCATTGGTGAGGAAAGGGGAGTCTTCATGAAGTTCAAATCAGAGGAAGCGATGCTCCATGCTCTGACATTCAATTCGGAGAATTTAATATTCCATTATGCGAATGGAACGACGGCAAAGGTACGCATGTCGCATGCTGGTGAATTCATTCAATATGTGCGTGTGTATGACTTGCCACCAGAGGTACCCGACAACGAGCTGGATAAAGTGCTGGGGAAATATGGGAAAATTAAACGCATCATCCGGGAGAAATTTCCAACTGATCTGTGTTTTGAGGTATATACAGGGATACGCGGTGTATATATGGATGTGAAGAAGGAAATCCCCACGTCATTACATTTCTTCAATCGCAAAGGAAATATTTTTTATGATGGCAACAAAGATAAATGTTTTCTGTGCAAGGCGGACGGACACCGGAAGCTTTCCTGTCCCAAGTGGAAGGCTCGGAAGTAACCGGAGAAGCAACTGAAGGAAAAAGGAAAGCAAAGTGAAAGAAAACAAAACAGCAGCAGTACGTATGCTGGTGTAGTGGTGGAAGGTGCGTCGTTTGTCATTAGCGATCAGGAAACGGACACGGGGTTGGAGATGTTGAATGAAGATAACGAAATGGACGTGACTACCCCGACGACCGACGAGAGTAGCGGAGAGCATGCAACGGGAAACGATGTTCAGAAACAGCAGCAGCGATCACGATTCGGGTTCAATGAAAACGAGGAACAAATTCGGGTAAGAAAGAAGTTGCGTGCACGGGAGAAGATCGCTTTGTCGCCGCTTCGATCGCCACCTAGAAAAATCATATGATAAAATATATTTGTATATACTTTTTTTTTGTATTTTGAGTACCATAATTGGTATTCTATGTTACTCGGCTCCGCTAAGTTATTTTTATAACATTTGAGCCTGCCAAATAAACGAAATGAAAAAAATAAAAAAAAATAGTTTGGATCCCAGAGGGGATTTCCGAAAAAGGGCGTGGGGCCCCGGAAACAGAGTTTTTAGCTACGGAGTTTTTAATTTGGTGGCCCTGGAAGGGAACCTCCGAGGGTGGGGTCCCTTAGTTGCTTAGTGGCTGTCTTAATTCTGTCATTTTGTTGGAGAATTCCGTTTTCGTTGCGTTGGTCTGCATAGTTGCTGATGTGGGTGGTTGGTTGTGAGATTCTGGTTCCGAGTGTGATCTGGTATGGTGGTGATGATGATGATGGTGAGTTAGGTGATCAGATTAGATCGAACAGCTCAGCTTCCCGCAGGAAAGCTAAAAGGGCTGTAATTCTGGTAGAATCGTTACCGAGGGCATCGCTGATGCTTCCCGGGATGTCGTAGCGGGTTCTTGGTGCTTCGTATTTCGGACAGTGGCAGATAATGTGATCCACCGTTTGAGAAATTCGGCATAGATCACAGATCCTATGGAAAGGTCCGTCTCCCTTGTAGTTGTGGGAGATGTTTGTATGCTGTGTTCGAAGTCGGGATACTATGACCTGCTCTCGATGTATCGGTGGGTCCACCCACCTGGAGATGTCTCTTTTAATGTTTCTGATGGCAGGGGTTTCACTGGCCGCCCAATCGCGAGCCCAACCTTCGTTGGTGATTTTTGATACCCATTTTTTGAGGTCCGGACCAGGTACAATTCGCGTGTACTTGGCCATACGACGACCTGAGTTGGCTAGTTGGTCCACTTTTACGTTACCATGAACCCCGCAGTGTCCAGGTATCCACACAAAGACTGTGTTGTTTGGCGCGTGTTCCTGTATAGCCTGGATCCAAGGGTGTTTGCTCGTATCGGATTCCAGTGCGGCTACCACACTAGCGGAGTCGGTGAAGATGGCTATTGGTCGGTCATCGGGAATGGTGGCTGCAATGAAGGCGGCAATGGCTTCCGCAGAGAAAATGGAGCACTGATCCGGGAGTCTATGGCATACCGCGAGGTTTGGACCGAAAATCCCGATTCCTACCTTTCCCTGGGCTACCGAGCCATCCGAGTACCGAATGGTGTATCCTCCGTATTTCCGGTTCTGGAGTTCGAGTACCGCTTGTGCCACCACTGAAGGATTGGCACCAGCTCTGAATTAATCATGTTTTGTTGGTTTTGACATCATCCACATCCAGAGGGCCAGTCACTTCGAATGTATGGGAATGGTAGGAAACCATTTGGAAATGCATGGAAATTTTCAGTTTTTATTCATTATCGTCTTTATGGGCAATTTTAGATGCACAAAAATTGCACGAGTACATTACTATGGTGATAAGGTAAACACTCGTTTATTTGTTTCCTTTTGTAAAAGCATGTTTAGTCACAAATCGTGGATTTTCTGATATTCTCCATACTGCAAAAATGATTTTCCTACCACTGAAGATGCGACATCTCTCGGATCTTCAGTATAGCTACTACTCAAATCATATAATTAATTGGTGTTTGATTGTGTGGTCGGTCAGAATCTTCGGCATGTTCCAACCCCTCGCTCCGACCCAGTAAAGCTTGGATTGAGCACAATGATATTTTTATCGATCCCGTAGACATTCATCTCGATTTTTAAATCATGATTTAAATTATTGATCGTTGACCTTAAATCACAGAGAACAGACTTGGAGGCTCAAACAAAATTTCTCTAAAAACTTGTGTAAAGATTCCTATTTGACTTAAGCGCCACTAACGGCGACTTCCCCACTTAAAAACCATCTTTGACAACATGATAGCGCTGGCGTTGCACAAATTACACTAGACACTAAGTGCTAGTAGCGCCAAGTGGCAATTTTCAACAGAAAATTTATCGATACTAGCGCCAAATTGGTCGAAAGTGGAAAATTTATAGAGAAAATCAGGAGACGCTAGTATCGATAAATTTTCTGTTGAAAATTGCCACTTGGCGCTACTAGCACTTAGTGTCTAGTGTAATTTGTGCAACGCCAGAGCCATCATGTTGTCAAAGATGGGTTTTAAGTGGGGAAGTCGCCGTTAGTGGCACTTAAGTCAAATAGGAATCTTTACACAAGTTTTTAGAAAAAAATTGTTTGAGCCTCCATGTCTGTTCTCTGTGCCTCAACGTCTGTTCTCTGTGGTTTAAATTCATATTTTTTTATATGCACCGGGTGCCCTCAGGTTAACCTCCCAAGTAACAATTTGGGTTTTATTAGGGTTCTGTAGACCATGATTTATGTTGTTACTTGGGCTGTAGCAGGAAAAATTTTCGTTTCTGCACCAAAACTTGCCGTACGATAGCTCATTCTTCATGTTTTTTTTATCAATAGGCTCTGTATGGACTTGTAATATCATTGACCATATTGGCCGCTCTCAGAACCACGGAATCCTCCAGAAGAAACCTGTAGTTGGGAACAATTGGCATCTTTGGTGTAAAAATGAAATTGTCCCTTGCTACAGGTTTTTCCGGGGGCATCCCGGAGGTTCCGAGAGTGGCTAATGTAGTCAATGATGCATTTAAAGTCTATCGAAAGCCTATTGATTAAAAACCATGAAGAAATAGCTGTCGCACGGCATGTTTTGAGTGATTAAAAAATCAGAACGCAATCAGAACCCTCCATCAGAACCGATTCCAGGGAAATGATCATATCTCGGTTGATTATATGCCGGTTTTAATTCTTGGTATATCATTCGCTTTGGAAATTCTGTGTATTTACTAAACATATTGATTTTTAACCGGCATCCTATAGAAAATCACATAACAAATTTTACGTGTTAGACAAGCCCTTCGGAAACCCGGAATATCCCCGTAACTACACCATAAAATTATATTAGTTTTCCAGTCAAATGCTTTTGGAAGAATCAAAATCGGACCATATTTGACAAAGTTACAACACAACACAACCAAAGTTGACCAAAATTGGTCTATTCTAGTTATTTTGAGTATCCCCTGTAAGTACTACATCAACATTTCCTTCCCTATCCCTTGTTACGGTAAGATGGACGTGGCTAGGAGTAGCGGCAATCATGCTTATGGTCAGACTGAGAATTTTGAGACCGACGTGAGTGTTGCTAGTATATAATCTACGAAGCATACCGTAACAACGCTGACGCTAACGCTAAACCGGATTTATTTCTTAATATGAGGTAAAACGTTGGAGGAACGATTACTTAAAATAAATAATATTCGTGTTTTAGGAAAGACGTGTTGATCGGAAATCTATATCAAATCCTTCTCAAGATTAGTTGTTATCGTCGTTGGTGATGTCACCGCCGGGATCGACATCTAATAACAGCAAGTTGAACAGAAACTTGGTCGTAATTGTTTTGTTAAATGAGGTGCTCGGTGGCCTTGTGGCGACTAATTTTGCTTACTGAGTAGAAAATCATGAGTTCAATCCCAAACTCCTTCACATTATAGAGTTATACTTTAATTCGGAATTGGTTGAAGGTACCCCGAGCAAAGTTCAGCATCAAAATGACAGCAAATTGAAATCAAGTTTTGATATCAACATCAAACTGAAATCATAATTTGATTTCAGTTTACGTAATTGACAAATTTGATACCAAATTTTGTTTTCATTTTGCTGTACATTTGCTCTTCAAAAATATGTTGTTGCTGGCTTGTTTTCATTGCCTTAGCATAACAGCAAATTGAATACTTTTTTTGTTATCAACAGGAAAAATGGATATCAAATTGAGTTTTCAGTTCGCTCTCACTGATAGCAGAAATAGTAACCTGAGTAATACCAAAGCAAAATTACAACATCAAATTTAGATTTGAATTTAGAATTAGAATTTAGAATTTAGAGAATATGTGTTGATCTGAAATCCATATCAAATCCTTCTCAAGAGCAGTTGTTGTCGTGATCGGTGGGTTTGCTTCCGGGATCGAAATCTAGTAACAACTAGTTGAACGCTAAACTTGATCGTAATTGTTCTGTGATATAAGGAGGTCGGTGGAGACCGATTTTGCGTACTGAGTGAAAGATTGTGGGTTTAAACCCAAGCTCGTTCGCGATATTGAATCGATAGGACATTAATTCAGCATATCAACAGTTAACAGTTTCTAATAACGATCTCAGCTCGGAAGCGCTGCCACTGACAAAATGGAATGGAAGCAATGTACTGTAGCTTCTCAGGATCGGGACCATGACGATCAACGATATATCTCAACTAGTGGATTTCGGCCAGGAAGCAGCGACTTTTTTTTTGTCATGGCGAGGACTTCATATTCTTGTAGACTTTTCAAAGGCTTCTCTAGCAATGCATTGTGGTTAGTCTGAAGATGTTAGCGATCACTCCTGGAACGAGACAATTGAACCACATAATGATTGCACACAGTTCGGTCAACAGCTTTCACTCTGTTAGCAGCCTTAGTAGTATGCCGTTAGTCTAGGAAACTATCGTGATAACTCTGCCGAATCCAGTTGAAGAGGAGTAGCAATGTCGTTTTTCCATTTAGTTCTTCCCACTTCTCTTGTGATCAAGGGGAAAGTAGCTAGAAGAGCAACCACAATAGCCTCCTTTGATGGCAATGCGATTACCGTTAAGCACCGAAATCCAGGCATTTAGTCCACAATTCCGGATATTATTTTTTCGATTTTTCCATGGATATGATATCTATATGTCTCAACAATAACTTCCAAATACATGAACTTGAGTGCACAATCCACCTGCAAATGTGACTAGACCATGAACCGTATCCGTTTGTCCTTCACTAATCTGATTTTTATTAAAAAAGCAAATAAAAGATTTATGCAAAGGGTATAACCCCTATTGGTGAAAATCCCATGCACCGACAACAGATTCACCCCAATCCGAGAAAAAAAACGAAACAAGTGGCTTTCCAATGCCGTTTTTTGATCCGGTCTCCTGGCGCTAGTGATAATTGTGATGCCCCTTGAAAAATACGAACCTACATGATGATGATCCTGCTAAAAGACCCTCTTCAACCGTTCGCTGTAAGTATGATATGTGCAATAAGGGAACTATTGCACTCGTAAGAACGGGCGCTCGAGTCCTTTCTTTATGGCCAGATCAATTCAGACGGATGAATAGAATTAACTTTTATTTAATAACACAAGCCGGTTGGTTCATCTCCTTCATTTGTCATCATTTTTCATCCCTCCTCCGATGAAACGAGGAATAGCTATTCAAGAGATGGGATGCAAATCGCTAACCAAGAAGGGTAAATGCTGACTGCTGACTGCTTTCTCATCTTATAACACGTGTTCGGTCAGAGAACATATTGCCGGCGTTTCGTCAAGTGTGTAATAAGGGGGAAATTCGTTGTCGGTGATAGCACGAGTTTCAATTTAATTTCATGACCTATTAAACTTTTAATATGACGCCATGGAGATGGTTATTGGTTTTTTTTTGCTAGTGAGCTGGCGCCATGATATGGGTATTTTTGGGTACGATTTATAACCCATCAGTTATTAGTATGAGGGGGACGTTTAGCATCATTGCAGCTAAGGTAAATTTTAATATCTTTTGATAATAAATGATTCAATGAAAGTCGCACCACCATATGAATTCATACATTTGTTTTATTCAACATGAATATTTTCCTTAATTCAGTGAAAACAATTAACCGATTGATGTAGGACGGACCTCACTGTCTCTCTCTCTCTCATTTGTAAGTCATTCCATATAAATACTATCAAATTAGAACGAGAGATTCGTTCTACAGTCATTGGTTAATTGGACTGAACTATATAAAACTATCCAGTAGTTTGAAAGACTTGATCAGAATATTTCAGAAATTTAATACTCGTAATCAAACGGTTCCAATACTTCCCTTTCCATTAAACGTTTCATAATTTATAATAATTTCTCACAGTAATAAATTTCCAAGTCAGTCACACTTCTGGTACTACCTGTCGCCTCCTTTCATCTCATCTCTATAAATATCAAGAGTCTTAACGCCCAACAAAAGCAATCATCTTCCACCGTCTTGATGACAATTATTACCAAACATTAATCACTCTTCATTTCAATAATAACTTCGTAAGATGACAAATGGCAAATTGTCTGCGGAAGGAAAGCAAGTGAATCGAACCGGACCGAAGAAGCACGTGGATATAGACGATGCTGATCCTGATCCCAATGATGGCAACAACCAACCGCACCGAACAACACA